AACCTCACTGAGAATAGTTACCTAGTTTGCTAAACTTCTCAACATACCCAAATGTACATAAAGATATTAGAAAAGAACCATGCGTAATAGTTGAACTGTGGTTGCAGGAGTTCGCCAGGGATGATGACTGGTGTTGCTGTTCTCTCCTGAGATAAAGCACTGCCTCCACCCTCCCCCTCTTCCCCAGCGGTATGGAGAGGATTGGCTGGAGTCTAAGCAATAGTGTCTGGTGAGGAGAGCCAGCTGGTCCCAAAAGAGACAGAAAATGTTGCTGAAGAACCTAAAGTCTTCACTTGATCTTATCCAAAAGGCTGAGAAGTGATTCCTAGAGTCTTATGTATAAGACACTACTAATTCAAAGACAGTGAATGAAGAGATCACTTTAAATTTACCAGCATCTACTCCAGTCATAAAGCTCTTTGAAGATGTACCCAACAAAGTGGGCTACATAAATGGAACCTTTGATTTGGTGTAGGGAAATGGAATCAATACTGCTGATATGGCTCCACTGGATCATACCCATGACAAGACTCTTCTTGATGCTAATTTTGACCCAGGAAAGAACTTTCTTCATTGGCAGATGAAGATGGTGAACATCCACAAATACTGCTGGAGGATTCCAGTAATGTGGATGACATTGTTCATGACAGGTTTATCAGTCCGCTTCCAAGAGAAGGTTCTGGGGTCTCCACCAGTGATTATGTCAGCCAAAGGTACTCCTATTCATCTATTTTGAATAAGTCAGAAACTGGATATGTGGGATCAGTAAACCAGGCAATGACTCGCTATTTGAATAGCCTTTTGCAAATACTTTTTATGACTCCTGGATTTAGGAATGCATTATATAAGTGGAAATTTGAAGAATCTGAAGAAGACCAGGTGACAAGTATCCTATACCAACTTCAAAGCCTTTTTGTTTTGTCATAAACCAGCAAAAAGAGAGCAATTGAAACCATGGATGTTACGAGAAGCTTTGGATGGGATAGTCGTGAGGCTTGGCAACAGCGTGATGTACAAGAACTATGCTGAGTCATGTTTGATGCTTTGGAATAGAAATGGAAGCAAACAGAACAAGCTGATTTTATAAATGAATTATACCAAGGCAAGCTGAAGGACTATGTGAGATGTCTGGAATGTGATTATGAGGGCTGGAGAAATGACACATATCTTGATATTCTCTCAGTCATCCGACCTTATGGGTCCAGCCAAGCATTTGCTAGTGTGGAAGAAGCATTGCATGTATTTATTCAGCCAGAGATCTTGGATGGCCCGAGTCAGTATTTTTGTGAATGTTGTAAGAAGTGTGATGCTAGAAAGGGCCTTTGTGTTTTTGCATTTCCCTTATCTGCTGACCTTACAGTTGAAAAGGTTTGATTTTGATTATACAACCATGCATAGGATTAAACTGAATGATTGAATGACATTCCCAGAGGAGCTAGATATGAGTATATTTATTGATGCTGAAGATGAGAAATCTCCCCATATTGAAAGTTGCACTGATAGTGGAGCAGAAAATGAAGGTAGCTGTCACAGTGACCAGATGAGCAGTGATTCCTCTAATGACAATGATGTTGATGAAAGAATCTGCCTTGAGAAAAATAGTGGAGCTGAAAAGATTTCAAACCCAGTCTTGAAAAGAGTTCCTTGATCTATGAGTTTTTCTGTTATGGTTCATTTGGGAAGTGCTGCTGGTGGTCATTATTATGCTTGCATAAAGTCTTTCAGTGATGAGCAGTGGTACAGCTTCAGTGATCATCATGTCGGCAGAATAACACAAGAGGACATTAAGAAAACACATGATAGATCATCAGGAAGTCGAGGATATGGTTCTAGTGTTTTTGTAGGCTCAACAAATGCATATATGCTGATATATTTGCTGAAGAATCCAACAAGAAATGTAAAATTTCTAGAAGTGGATGAATACCTTGAACATATTAATAACTTGGTACAGAGAGAGAAAGAATTGGAAGAAGAAGAGGCAATGAGAAATCGAGCATAATACATGCAGGGTAAAATTATTGTTGCATCCTGTGAAATAAGTAATGTTGGAAAACAAATTGGAAGTTCATAAGGATAAGACATTAAAGGAAGCAGTAGGAATGGCTTATAAGATGTTGGATTTAGAAGAGGTAATACATCTGGAGTGCTGTCGCTTCATGATTACCTAGAATGATCATATGAAGGGGAAGAAGATACACTTATGTGACTTCTCCTAGATGAAGTCAAGTCAACATATATGTTTGATCTGCTATTGGAGACAAGAAAGCCTGATCAAATTTTCCAGTCTTATAAACCAGAAGTGACAGTTAAAGTTCATGTTGTTGATTTAAAAGCAGAAACTGTAGCTGTTCCTATAACAATTCGTGGTTACATAAATCAGTTACAAAATTCAAACAACTGATTTAAAAAGCATTCAATTTAAAATAGACTCTGTGTGCGTGTGTGTGTGTCTGTGTGTGTGTGTGTGTGTGTGTGTGTGTGTGTTGTGCTGAGGATGGAACCCAGGAGCATTGCACTTAGTGACAATTCCCAGCTTTTTATGATTTTTTTATATTGACAAATGTTTAACATCTTGATTTGCCATTATAAAGATTTCACCACTCTAAAAAAACTCCTGTGCTCCTTTATCAATGATCCTCCATATCCTCAAACCTCTCGCAATGGCTAACCTCTTTACCATCAGAACATCATATAACTCAGATCATCCAAAATGTAGACTTTTCAGACGAGCTTTTCTGATTAAAAATATGCATTTGAAATTCTTCCTTATCTCTTCATAGTTTAACTTATTGATGTATAACAATTCTCTTAATGGAGGTATCACAGCACATCCATTCACTGAAGGACATATTGGTCGTTTACAATATTTTTGGCAATTATATATAAAATGACTGTAACTTTTCACTTGCAGGCTTTTTGTGTGGATATGTTTTCAACTCAACTGGGTAAATACTAAGAAGTGCCACTGCATCACATAGTAGGTAGTTTTGTAAGAAACTGGCAAACTGGCTAAGAGGGTTTATCATTTTGCATTACCACCAATAGTGAGATTTCCTGTTACTCCTTCTGTTTGCCAACAGTAGCTTTTGTCAGTTTTTAATATATTAACCATTCTAATAAGTGTACAGTAGTAGCTGACAAAAACAATGTTCAGCATCTTTTCATGTTTGCCATCTGTGTATTTTCTTTATGAAGATGTCTACTCAGATCTGCCTATTTAAAAAGTTTGTCTTTTTATTGTTTAATGAGTTTTTTCTTTAAATCAATGTTCTATGAGACATGTGTTTTGCAAATATTTTCACTAACTCTGTGCCTGGGCTTCATTTTCTTTATGGTGTATTTCACAGCAGACTTTCTTTTTTGGCAGTACTGGGGATTGAACCTAGAGCCTTGTACAGGCTAGGCAAGAACTATCACTGAGCTACATCCTCAAGTCCTATTCTAGCCAATAATTCCTAAGTGCAAAGATGCATATTCAGAACATAATCATAAGGAAACATTTAACAAGGCCAAATTGAATGTTAATTTTTTTTTTGTACTGGGGATCGAACTCAGGACCCTGCACTTGCGAGGCAGGCCATGGCACCAGAACGTTAATTTATCACATTAACAAAAATCAGCCAGGTGTGATGGTGCACACCTGTAATCCCAGCACTCAGGAGGCTGAGGCAGGCAGATTACATCAAATTTGAGGTGAGCCTGGGTTACACAGTGAGTGCAAGGTAAGAATGAATATATAGCTAGACCCTGTCTCAAAAAAGGGGGGGGTGTCATATTAGAATGAGATATTTAAGAGGGTACTAAATTGACACAGAATATAAAAAGGAATGCAAGAAATATCGAATAGATTTGATAGACTGTAGACTGCTGCTTTATAAAAACCTACAAAAATGCCCCAGTAAAGAACCAGTCAAAAATAGATGTATTAAAAATCACCATGTCAATTATCATGTAGGTAGGAGGTTGATGATCTTTTTCTCCAATTCTTAAGCTCTATCTATGCAGCTATCAGAAACAAGGGACAGCAAGCTAGAAGATGAGAAAAAGGATGATAAACGCAGCAAAAGCCATCCATGTTTTCTCTTCCATCATAATCTCTGCCCCGCTCCATGTTCCCACAACATACCTGAGCCTTGGCTGAAGAAGCTCATCTGTAACTAATGCTTTCTACATGGTTCTCAAAGTTAGGGTAGGGCCTCCCCACAATTTCACCCATGGCCACATAAAGTTATTTGCCCTATCAAATAAATTGAATGGCACTGTGCTAGACAAGAATGAAATTGCTTTATCATCTCCCAAGTCATGGTTACTCATTGTAATTTGCATACTTTTACTGGGTCTCCACTGCATATGCATATGTGGTCCAAGTCCACCAGGCACTACCTGAACTTCAGAGGTAGACCACAGTGGGTGGCAGAGGCACACAGATGTCATCTACAGTTGTGGGAGTGATATTTTTTTTGTGGTTATAGCTGTTTCCAGCATCTAGTCATTCACACACTAGGCAATGAACACTGGTGATGGCAGCAGTGCTAAGTACTTTTCCTTGAACAGTACTGTGATGTTATCTGGGCCTGCATCCTTACCACTTTTTCTAGGTTGTACAGCTAGCTCATAGGCGTGAAGGTTCCTTGACCTACTGAACACTATCCAATTTAAAAAATTTTTAAGAAACGCTTCATTGGTTAAAATATATAGAACGGATTACTGCAATTATTTTTCTCTATTTTACCAGTAAAGGGATATCAACTAATAAATGATATAAAAATGCAAAATGGCAGTTAAAAGAATTAGATCAGTACTTTTCAATCTTACATTGTCAGACATCACAGAATGATGTATCACTATTTCTGTTACTTTGAAACCCACAATATTATGTATCATCCATGTGTACATCTAAGTACTGATTCTATAGACATGAAATGCACCAAGTTATTACTTCTGCAGACACAGGGTGGAGGACTCCAGAAAGAAAAAAGAAAATACTTTATTTTCTGAAACCATTTATTTCTTTTATAAAATTTTAATCGAAAAGGAAAAATAACATGGTTAATTAGTAGGTGGTAACTACACAGATAATACTAGGTATTATTTAGGTTGGAAAAATGAAAGGTAAAAAAATAGAAGAAAATCTGGAAAAGTATTTGGATGAAAGAGACAATTCAGGAATAAAACCAGAGAAGTAGCATATAGTAAAAAAGATATTTAAAACAGAAGTGAGCAAACTACAGCCTACAGGCCAAATGTAGCCAGCTGCTTGTCATGAAAGATTTATTGGAATAGAGGTGTATCCATTGCTTTTAGATCAGGATTTCTCAACTTTAGAACTGGACCAGATAATTTTGTTGTGCGGAGCTCTATAGCATTGTAGGATACGGAACAGATCAGGATCTCCGACCAGCTGCAACCCCCCAACATCTTTGGTCATTGCCAAATGTCTATTGGGGGTGTAGGCCAAGGAAGCAAAACTGTGGTTGAAAAATACTACTTTACATATTGTATGCTTCTGCGCTAAAAGGCAGTGTAGACACTGTATGGCCACAAAGCCTGAAATAAGTAATCTGGTCATTCACACAAAATGTTTGTTAACTCCTTTTGCTATAAACATAGGCATGGTGGTGCATCCCTGTAATCCCAGAACTTTGGAGATGAAGGCAGGTGCATTTCATTAGTGGAATAGGGTGTATATATTGTTTGTCTCTATTATGTAAAAAGCCAAAAGTTTGATCTGTAGATATTGATGGGGAAGAATTCCCAAGGTATGTTACCACATGAGGAAAGAGCTCCACCCCAGCCTGGACAATTTGGTGATTTAGTGAGACTCTGTCTGAAAATAAAAATAAAAATGAGCTGAGGCTGTATAGAGGAGGTAGCTCAGTCCAAAGGCCCTGGATTCAATCCCCAGAACTATTAAAAAAAAAGGGCAAAGGATACATGATAGGCTGAGAAAATAAACTGTAAAGTATATGGCAATATTATAATTTCAGCCAACTTTCTACAAACTGCTTTAAAAATGACTCTAATTTTTAAAAAAGAAACATAAAAAACAGTTCACAGAGACAAAAGTCAAATGATCTTTAGGCATGGCAGATGCTCAACTTCACTGGCAGTTAAGAAAGTGCAAATTGAAGGCACATTTGTTTCTTTACTCAACTTAGAAGTAGTTTAGTGCTGGCTGAAACAGGAAATAAACATATATTCTTGTTTAGATTAGCAGCAAGTTTCAAACATAAGGCACCAACTATTACACTTTAAATACAGTACATTGATAACTCAAGGAATTTAACTGATAGGAATTCAGCTATACTACAGAAATAAAAGCACCAACAATCAACAGTACATATGTAATAAAACTGTGAGGTATAATGATTTGTAAAATTACAAAACTGAACTTTCATTAGTGGAATAGGCTGTATATATTGTTTGTCTCTATTATGTAAAAAGCCAGTAGTTTGATCTGTAGGTATTGATGGGGAAGAATTCCCAAGGTATGTTACCACACGAGGAAAGGAAGCTGCACTTCAATCAGTGCACACAACATCTCATTCAAATGACTCTCCTCATAAGCTTGTATGATACAAGAACAAGTCTAGATGTGGGTGTGCTTCTTGAATACGGAGAAAAGGATGGAAAGCTCTAGATTTCACCACTTAAAACTCAGTGTGTACATGGTTTTGTTAAAAAAATCTTTCTATATTCCTTCTAGTTTCTGATAAAAACATGCCATATAAACTTGCAACAAAATTCTCATGTCTGGAAAAAGAGAAGTATATATGAGCAGAAAATGAAAGACATTTCAACATTTTTGTAACTCTGAAAGTGTTGAAATGGTAATATCAGTATTATAATACCTATTTTTGCCTGTTATCATCAATTCTAGATTCTAAAAGGTACAAATTCTTTTAGAGTACTTAAAATTTTTGTGCTCCCTTCAGCAGCACATATACTAGAGTACTTAAAATTTTTGAGAATAGACTTATGAAATTAATATATCAGTACAGATAAGATTTAGTAATCGTTTATCTTTTAAAAATGCTTAAAATTTTTGTTATGCACTGTCCTCTAAAGAATTGACTAATATTTAGGTAGGATTTTTATCACACAATTATTATATACATTTAACTTATTTAATTATGTATTATTTTTCTGTAGTGTGGGGCAGAAGTGTAATCTACTGGATGGTGATTATTCTAAATGTTGTCTAGACAATGAGGTATGGTCAGATGCACAACTGCAGTGACTCCACAGCAACTGACACTTGCTGTATAGTTGTTATTGCTTTTAACGGGCAGCATTTTTTAGTGTGTAGTTTCCAATGTGTTAACACTGTACTTAAGTATTACAGTTTTTGACAATTGGACAGGTCAGGTCATGAATATTCTGGATAATCTATCAAGTTCTTTTAAAAGGCTACTAGATTTGACTTGCTATTTAATTGGACTATTCATATAAGTACAAGGGATTATTTTTTTATAAATTGGTATTTGATTCTGGATGCTGTCCTTTTCCAAATTTGGTAAAAAGGTTCTGCTAGCTTCATCACAGTGACTTCTTTGTACAGTATCTTGAAGAGTTCAGATTTTTATCTGCAAGATAATTTGGAACTAAATGATTACATGATGTGTAGCTTTTCAGTTTCTTTGGTTCTTACATTATTAGGAAAATAACACTTCCCCAGGATTTCATACATATTATAAAAGGCAGGATATAAATATATACTGAATGTAAAATGCTGAATGTAAACAAGTGTTTCTTATATCTCACTATATCAAAGTTGAATATATGTATTTCATACGTTTAAGAAAATGTTATGTCAGGTACACTATAAAAAGCTGAATAAACATTTTCTTACCTTACTAAAGTTAAATAAATATGTGTGTGTATATATATATGAAAATATATTTTTAAATGGCAACTTTTCAGGACTGGGAAGCTGAGTATAAAACTATAACACATGAAAAAAAAAACTATAACACATGCATAGAGCTTCTTATTTCACTGAAGTCCTAGGAAAGGGTGGCTCTGAATTGTTTCATCAGATCCACAAGGTCAAGGACACAGGTACTAATTCTAATCTATCCCCTGTGCCAGTCTCAGCCCCTTGACCCTCTGAGTGCAAAATGGCCACAAGTTCATCTACCACACAGCCATATGGACATGCATCCCGTAGTTAGGACCATTTCCTTGTATTTTGTTAAGAAAGAAATTAACTGAAGTCCATCTGCAGATGTATGCTCAGATCTTCTGTGGCCAGGAGCATTATACATTTGACCAGATGCAAAGGAAAGTAGGAGAATAAACATCTGGCATTTATAGATTGAGGTAGTGGCAGGTGATCCTGGCAAAGAGAGAATGGTAATAGGCAAAACCAACAGTATCTGCTAATTCAGTATAGCTTTATATCTCTGAAATGTCTACTTTTTTTCACTGTAGGATATAATCTTTCAGAAAAAGTTTTCAATGTTTTGGTTTTGCCTTAAATTTATTTTGTTAGAGCTTCTCCATATACTGGAGTTGAATATATCTATTCATTCATTCTCCCATTCCTTTGATCAAATATTTACTTAGGCTGGGTACAGTGGCACGTGCCTGTAGTCTCAGCTATATGAGGCAGGGGGATCACAAGTTCCAGGGCAGCCTGGGCAACTTGTCTCAAAAATTTAAAAAGGGATGGGGATGTAGCTTTGTGGTAGAGTGCTTCCCTAAAAAGGATTCAACCCCTAGTACTAAAAAATGTTAGAAAACATTTACTGAGAACTTGCTAGGAATAGGTAGTGCACCAGGTAGAATGAAGCCAGAATGACTCCTGACCCTTATTATCCCTGTACAGTATTAAAGGAAGTTGATTTCCCTGAGAATATAGCTTTATTCATATCCTATAAATTTCAACCTGTAGTGTTCTTTTTGTTATTTATTCCTAATGTTAATTTTCTTTAATTTCCTTTTGAATATAAAATTATACTAGTATCTTTACAATTTCCTAGTAGAGACAGAGCTTTTGTCTAAGGCTTTGTTGTTTTCTAATTCTCTAGAACAGAACTCAGAGTTTATAGCACACCTTCTGTTTTTTGGGGAAGGTTTTAATAAATCATCTATATCTTTCTGCCCTTGGAGCAACGCACCTCTCTCCTACTGAGATTTGTGAATTCCTTTTTGGGGCAGGCAAAAGAGGAAACTATGAATGAATGAAGGCTGTAAATTGTTCTGTGGAATGAATTACCTAACATTCAACAAAGAAAAAGAGATAATGCAAAATGTCCTATCAATAGATGTATAAAGGCCTTCCTCTTATATGATCTTCTAAAAATACAATTAGTAAAAATAATAGAAAGAAAAATAACAGAAGTGGCTATCATTTAGCATACTTTCAATATTAGCTGGACACTATTCTAAAGGACATAAGTGTATTTAATCCTCATAAATACAAGTAAGCAATATGGTACTAGTGTTTCTAATTTGTAAATGAGAAAATGTAGATGTAGTTAAGTAATCTGCCCTAAATCTTTAATGATGAGGGCCAGTTAAAAGTAAGCTTTGGGGCCGGGGATTTAGCTCAGTGGTCCCTCTGCCTGGCTCACAAGCCCAAGGTCCGGAGTTTGATCCCTGGTACCAAAAAAAAAAAGCTTTGGTTAAATCCTTTCCTACTCTGATTTGGTTCAAGTTAATTTTATAGAATTAACTTGCAAATATGTAACAAAATTTGGGTGGGATGGAAGAATATGCTGCATTTTAAACACTAATATAACCTTCTTCCAGTATGAATTATCAGATGAATAGCTTAACTAAAGCAAATTGTTGTCCCATATATATGGCATTTATATTAGGAATTGTTTGATTTCCCCTAACAGGTAATGACCCCGATACAAAGGTTCCAATAGTTCATTTCTCTGACACATTCACCGTCCTCCCAAGCTTCTCCCCATTATGAATTCCCTGAGGTTGAGTTGGCTTAGACCCACCAAAAAGGCATCCTACTTTCTTATATTCATGGAATTTTCCAGTTTTTCACTAATTGAACTCTGATGGGTAATAACTCTGAAACAGGGCTGGGGATGTAGTTCAGCAGCACAGTACCTGCCTGGCAAGTACAAGGTCCTGAGTTTGATCCCTGATACCACCCCCCTCCCCAAAAAAACCACAGTGGAATAAATCTGAAACAAATAAACCCCTCCTAATTTCTAATATTTATAAGGTTTCTCAGTAGTATTAACTAGTATTAGACCATTTCTGGCCCTTAAATAAGGCCCTTTCATCCATAGTACAAATTCTGATATTCACTAAATTGATAACCTCAAATACTTTTCCACATTCCTCATAATCATTTTCTTAACTAGTATGAATTTCCTGATGTCAATCAAATCCTGATGCTTTCTCACATTTTATCATTCACTCTTGTGTCCTGAATGGATTCTTTGATGTTGACTAAGGTGTGAGCCACGAATAAAGGCCTTCCCACATTCTTTACATTCATAGGGCTTCTCACCAGTATGAATTTTCTGGTGTCGATTAAGTTCTGAGCCACGACCAAAAGCCTTCCCACATTCCTTACATTTGTATGGTTTTTCACCACTATGGCTTCTCTCATGATGAGTAAGTTCAGATCTTCGAATAAAAGCTTTCCCACATTCCTTACACTTATGTGGTCTCTCACCAGTGTGGACTTTCTGATGTCTAACAAGTTCTGTGCTACAAGTAAAGGCCATTCCACATTCCTTACATTTATAGGGTTTCTCACCAGCATGAGCTCTCTGATGTCGAGTAAGTTCCGAGCCACGACGAAAGGCCTTCCCACATTCCTTACATTTATAGGGTTTCTCTCCAGTATGAACACTCTGATGTCGAATGAGGTGTGAATCAGAGATAAAGCCTTTGCCACATTCCTTACATTTATGGGGTTTCTCACCCGTATGAACCCTTTGATGCAGACTTAGTTGTGAGGCACAACTATATACCTTCCCACACTCCTTACATTCATAGCGTCTCTCACCAGTATGAATTATCTGATGAAGATTAAGTTGGGTGTCATAACGAAAAGCTTTCCCACATTCCTTACATTTATGGGGGTTCTCACCAGTATGGATTCTCTGATGGCGAAAAAGGTGTGAAGGGCGGGTAAAGGCTTTCCCACATTCCTTACATTCAAAGAACTTCTCATCAGTATGAATTCTCTGATGAAGATTAAGTTGTGCAGTTGATCGAAAGGCCTTCCCACACTCCTTACATTTGTAGGGTTTCTCACCTATGTGCATCTTTTGATGTTGACTAAGTTGGGAGCTAGAATGAAAGGCTTTCCCACATTCTTTACACTTATATGGTTTCTCACCAGACTGAATGCTCTTAGCCTGAATAATTTCAGAGTCATGAGTAGAGGAAAATTTCTTATTTTCATTCTTTTTTCTGCTTTCATGAAGTTTCAGATGCTTAATCCTGTCTGACCTACTATTAAATACTTTCTGACATTCTCCACATTTAGAATCTTTTTCCTTGTGAATTCTTTCATGTTGAATAGGATGTGATTGGGACTCAAAAGCTTTCTTAGATTTCTTGCCTTCACAAGATTTCTCTCCAGTATTAATCCTATGAGGGTTTCTATAGGCTGTACTCTGAGTGGAAGTTGGCTTTTCTTTAGAGGTAATTATGGCTCCTCTGAATTGTCCCTCCTGATGCCCTTGTTGTTTTTCCAAGTGGAATTTGCTACCTCTGACTCTGGTGTGCTCAGGGTTGGAGTGTGTAAATTTTTTTGCTGTATTCTGTTGTAATGATTTAATTTCATATCGGTTCTTCTCCAGAGATAAATTCTTAATTTCTCTTCTGGATTCCCAATCTGTAAGGTAACAAAATAGAAAACAAGAGGTATTTTCACATTTCAGGAGAAAGGAAAATACTATGATAGAAACAGCAACTAAAAGTAGTGAAAATTTAAACAACTTTATACTACATTGCAATTTGGAAAAAGAAAAAAGAGAGGGGAAATGAGACTAGAGAAAACAAAGTGAAGGCAGTGGTTCTTTCCTTCTGGTAAGAATCAGAATCAGATGGAAAACTTGTTCAAAATACAATGTCTAGGAACCAACTAAGACTGACTGAGAATCTGAAAGAGTAAGATATGTCTAACAGCAAATCTTCTCATCTCTAGCTTCAGAATATACCCATATTTTGACTTTGCTCTACTTGTATCTCTACCATCTTGTCCATATCCTATTTAGCTCTGTTCCTACTGTCGTCCTCCTAATATCCCACACTGAACACAGTAGCCAGAGTGTTCCTGTTAAAGTAAGTTAGATGTCATTCTTCTGCTCAAAATCCTCCACTAGATCTCTTTCTCATTCAAGGTAAGAGTCAAAGTCCTTATGTGGTTGATGGGCCTTCCACAAACCTGTATGCACTATCTCTTTCTGCCCTTATTAGCTATCATCTCCCGTTAGCTGACTTCTGCTCCAGCTCCCTGACTGATCTAATGTTTTCAAGCTTGCCAAGCACACCTCTCCTTCAGAATCTCTTCCCTAAAATATCACTATGGCTCATTGAATTACTTTACCTGACCTCTATTTATAGCCAATTTACTAGATCACACTATGCAGAACAGAACCCTTCTTTACTCCACTTACCCTATGTTTCTGCAGAGTACTTATCAGCATGTGTCATTTTATCTTTTCCAATATTATGAACAATTTCAAACATATAGGAAAAAGTAAGAATTGGTTAGTGAACTTTCATATTCCCACTATGGAGATTTTTAAAATAAATATTTGGTTCTATTTGCCTTATTTTGTATCTACCCATCCCTTTATCCATTCACCAATCCATCTTGTGGACACTACTTGTACATCACTTCTAAGTGCAACAGACTGTGATACACTTTAACTTGTTTACTTTTATATTGTCTGACCCTTACTGTGCCTGTACAAATACTCAGTATTGGCTTGATGACTAGCCACTAATTTTTTTGTTACTCTCCCTAAATGACTGTGAGTCAATTCAAGGTGTAGATCAATTTTAATATAGTGCCCTCCCCTTCCATTTAGAATAAAACCCAAAATATCTTACCAAGCTTGCAAAAGTCTGCATTCACTCCACTTCAATTAACCATTTGCCCATTATACTGATCTACTGTATCAGAAGAGTCACTTTCTCATTTTAGATCCTTGCACCCAGTGTTCATCTCTCTCTGTCTCATGAGGCTCTGTTTGAGGATCTGTGCACAGCCAGTTTTCTCTTCTGTCAGGCACCCTGTTCTTTGCCCTCATAATCTTTTTTCCTCAATTCTTGAACTGCATACTTATTTGTCCTTTAGTTTTCACCCAAAGTGGCCTAGAATTAGCATTTAGGTCACTTATTTCACTCACTGTGATATATCTGGGCCACAGGACATTGTTCAATTAGTATTAAATAACATAATCACTAGATTTTTTTTTTTTTTTGGTACCGGGGATAGAACTCTGGACCTTGCGCTTGCGAGGCAGGCAGTGGAACCACTGAGCTAAATACCCAGCCCATAATCACTAGATTAAAGGGAAATTTACAGCTTAAACTGGAGAGAACACCGGATACAAAGGCTCTGAAGAGAACATGGGCTTGATGGACTGAGTGTCAGCAAGAAGCAATAGGACTTTAGATGTACAGACTCAAGTCATGTATTACAGACACTCAGATTACCAATGCCTTTGATCATAAATTTCATTTTATTTTCATGCACCAGTTTGTAAGTAGAGAGGTCAGGGGTGTGGGGAGTCAGCTTTACTCAGTATCAGGCTTGACATCTCTGTCATGATGATGGATGGCACATAAGTGGTCACCTTCCAAGCAGCGGGCATAGTCAGACCTAACCACAAGCCTGTCTAGAAAATGTAATTTTTCTTTTCTTTTTTTTTTTTTTTGGTACCGGGGATCGAACTCAGGTCCTTATGCTTGTGAGGCAGGTGGTGGAACCACTGAGCTAAATCTCCAGCTCAATGCAGTGTTTTTCTGTATTACTATGTGACAAACTTAAAGTTATGTTTCACCTAGGAAAGATACTAGAGGTAGAAGAGGAAAAACTCAAAGCTACCAAGAGGAGAGAAATACGAAGTATCACAACAGAGATGAACAAAATAATGAACAGAAAAAGAATTGAGAAAATCAGTGCATTCAAACTCTGGTCTCTAAAAAAAAAAATCAACAAAGTTGGTTAGACTGACCAAAGGAGAAAACAAAACTCAAAATACTAAAATCAGGAACAAAGAAGAGATATCATTATTTGCCTTACAGAAATAAAATGAGTTATAAGGGACTATTATGAACAACTATATTAGACAATTAGATAAGTAGACAAATACCTAAAAGACACAAAACTACTAAAACCAATTCAAGAAGTAGAGCATCTGAATAGATCTGTAACAAACCGACTAAAGTAGTAGTAAGAAATCTTCTCACAAATAAAAGCCGAGACCCAAGTGGTCTCATGCTGAATTCTATCAAATATTTAAAGAAAACTTAATACAGATTCTCCTAAAAATTTCCAAAAAAAACAGAAGAAGAAGGAACATTTTTTTTTTTTTGGTACCAGGGATTGAACTCAGGACCTTGTGCTTGCGAGGCAGGCAGCAGAACCACTGAGCTAAATCCTCGGCCCACAACATTTTTGAACTAATTCTGAGGCTAGTATTATCTTGATACCAACCCAAAGATATCATGAGAAAACTAGACCACTGATGGCAAACTTTTAGAGCTTTCAATGATACAAACAGCCTTCTGTGGCACGTGTGCCATAGATTCGCCACCACTGCTACAGATCAATATAGTGGCAAAAGTCCCCAAAATATAAAACCAAACCAATCCAGCAGGATAGAGAAAGGATTAAGTGCTACAACCAGATAGAATTTGTCCCAGAAAAGCAAAGTTGGTTTAACATCCAAAATGTTATCATATTAACAGAACAAAGGACAAAACCTACAGGATGTAGGTTAAGATGTAGAGAAATTACAAAATTAAAATGTAGAGAAATTACAAAATTAAAAAAGTATTAAAATCTTTTCATCACAAAAACATTCAACAAACTAAGAAAAGGGAACCTGTATACAAATACTCATAGCATCATTAGTCATAATAGCCTAAAAGTAGAAACAACCCAAATGTCTACCAATTGATGAATGGATAAACAAAGTATAGTATATTCACACCAGGAAATACTATTTGACAACATAAAAGAATAAAGTACTGGTTATTCATGCTACAATATGCATGAACACTGAAAATATTCTTCTAAGTAAAAAAAGCCAGTCACGAATTTCATACTATGTGATGTCACTAATATAAAATGTCTCAAATAAGCACATCTGTACAGACAGAAAGTAGATTAAGAGGTTTCTTAGGGCTGAGTATGGGGAGTGAATGCTAATGGGAATGGTGTTTTTATTTTGAGGTGATGAAAAATATTCTATTCACAATATAGTAAAAGCCAATTGCACACTTTTAATGGATGGATGAATTTTATGATATGAAAACTATATCTCAATAAAGTTATTTTAAAAAGGAGAAAACTCCACCTGCCTCACAAGCACAAGGTCCCGAGTTCGATCCCTGGTACCAAAAAACAAAACAAAACAAAGGAGAAAACTGGACCCAAAGTGAAGAAAAAATGCTAATCACAGAGAAAGGAGGAAGGCCTTTTGTCTCTGAAATAAGAGGGAAATATGACTCAAGAGTAGCAGGACAGTGGTAAGTGGAGTAATAATTTGGAGCCTTGTGCTGGCTGAAATGTACTTACTTTCTTCCCTAGACCTCAGCCCTTCGGTTGGTAGGGAGCTTTGCTACCAGCATCTCATGTGAGAAGTGTTGCCTTCTCACACGCTGACTGTGTGACAGCCTGCTGTGGTCTCCCCATGGATTCATCATCACTCACCTGGATAACATCCTTTTATCTCCTTCCTAGAAACCATCCAGGGCTCTTTTCCCTGCTCCAATAAGGAGATCACACTTGGCGTAGTATCAGAAAGTCCTGTTCAGAAAAAAAAAGGAAAAAGGTAAATGTTGTGGACCTCAGAATGAAAATCAGTCATGATTATTGTGCCTGCTAAGTATGATCTATCAACTTGACATGATTAAGAAATACCTGGAATATTAGTAAAACACATTTCTGGGTGTGTCTGGGCGCGTCATGGAGGCGAGACCTTGGGTAGTATATACATCCCTGGCTCCTTCCTCTCTGTTGCTATTGCTCTGCTTACTGCTTGCCATGAACTGAGAAGTTTTGCTCTGCCATTCCTTTCTGCCATGTTTCTTCCTTGGAGCCGCATACAATGGACTGAATCACTTGAAACTCTGAGCCAAATTAAACCTTTCTCCTTTAACTTGTGGGTGTTGAGTAGTTTATCCCAGCAACAAGAAAGGTGACTAATGCAATTACAGAGAAAGAACCAAATAGAGTTAGGGTCAAAAGAAGGAGTGAGAGCAGAGGAATGGGGAAGACAAAGATACCCAAGGAAAAACCCATTTTTAACTTCTTAAGAAACCATTCTTTGATGAACAAGAATTGTTAATTCAGACTGGCACTTGAAAATTATTGAGGAAAAATGAACAAGAATGAGCATAAATATTTCAGAAGGCCAGTTCTGAATTTTGAAGGGTAAACTTACTCAGTGAGATCAGGTTTTGGTAATTCTCCAGCATTACATCTCGATACAAAGCCTTCTGAACAGAGTGTAAGCATTCCCATTCCTTTTGTGAGAAGTAAATGGCCACATCTTTGAAGTTCATGCCCTGAAATCACACAAAAAATGTACTATTTCAAAAGTTATGGACAAAATCTTTAAGGTAGTTATGAAAAAAAGTGAAAAGTGGAGAAAGCAGTACAGTATGGGAGTTCTAGTCGGAAATAGGGCTTTGATGGATCCTTCAATGTAGATTGGTCAGGTGGAAACGAGGGGGATCAGAGACAATTGCCCGTAAGTCTTAAGCATGCCTGCTCTTGCAGATGTAACTTCTTGACACTTCCTTTATCCACCCAGGTCTGGGGATAAAAGAAGTTCAGATAAGTGTTGTTTCTCAAACTAAATCATACATGCAAGAACATGCATAGAGCACACTCTGTGTTCAGCACATACTTCTCATTGCTTCCTCCCCATTATCCCATACAAGAAATTGAAAAAAAATCTAGATTTTTCCAAAATACAGTGGACCCCTGACTTACAAACTCAATTTGTTCAAGAGGGCTGGTTATAACTCAGGTTGGTCAATTGAAGGTTCAGGTTCCTCTACACAGCCTTCAAAGTCTCTCTCCTATATACAGGCAGATCTCAGTGTCCTTAGAGAGACATTGGCCCAGGATTTCTCGTTTAATCTCATGCAGGAAAGGATGTTGTAATGTTCCTTCCAGAACTCTTTAAGGGTTAAATCTGTACCTGAGACCATCTAGAAGCACAACCAGCAGGCATTTAGGTTGTAACTGGAGACTGTTCATGTTAAAACTAAAATTCCAGTCATAACCCAAGTTGTTTGTAGGTCAGGCTGGTTGTAACATATCTCTGAAAATGAATGTAATTTATATAATTTCATAATTCAAAAGTCAGGCTCAAGAAAATAAAACCACCAAAACTTCAGGCCCAAACTTCTAGAATATTAAATCCTAATCATTTTTCCATGTTACCAAAAATTCTTAAACAGACATCATTTTTACTGGCTGCATTTTATATACTTATTCTTTTTTTGGCACTTGTTTGGAGAGCTTCTTTAAAGATCTTTTGCAGTTATGAGAGTCATTACTTTCTCAATGCATACATCTAGATAAATTGTCTCTAACTACTCTCCTTGTACTTTAGCTAACAAAACTGTTGGAGAAAGATCCTCATTTACAACAATGTGACCTAAGGTGAGCACATACTTCAGGAATTCAAAATAGAGCCACTTATTGGTATCCATCGGGCACAGGCTCCTGGGAAATATCACCAAACTTCATACACTCAATTTGTTATAATCCAATCATTTGCTAGTCCTAAAAATCCCATAGAGCCAGCGATACTGGCAGATACCAAGACTTCAACAAATTAACATCAATTCCCTTCTAATTAGAAAACCCAAGTTTACAACATCTGACGCTGCTTGGCCATTCAGTTCCATTTCATCAAATGACAGCTCTAAGAAGGGAGGTATAGAATTTCTAGCAAGGGCTGTTTTTCCCACTCCATCAGTACTCTTGGTGGAAGGGTATGCGCTTGGGAAATGCTAAATAGTTTGCTGGTGAATAGCTAAATATGTGTTGGAGTACAAAAGAACACTTACATGACAGTAACATTTGGTAGAATCATTGATTGAAGCAACTGACCAACTGGTAGAAGCTAATCTATGCCCAGAATGGCTTACTACAACCCCTTTTCTCTGGAAGATGCCTCTGCCACTGCAGGCATGCCAAAGACCTGATGGAGACCTCAGGCTCTTGATCCAGGCCCAGGTCTGAAGAAAGGTTTCTGAAACAAGGGCTTCTGGTCTCTCCTGGGGCCTAGCAGATGCCATGCATCAGATACTTCCATGGCTTTGTTCTCATAATCAAGAATTGGGACCCACAGAACTGAGCAGAAATCCACTGAATCACTAATACTGAGCCACACAAACCAGCATGATCAGCAGGCCCTGTGGAGCCTCAGCACAGCTTAACTACCTGGTTGTATACTGCAAATGGCTTTACATGAAAGCACAGTTCTCACAATCTTTATAGCCTAGTTCCTACTTGAGATCATCTATGGCTTTTCTGTCTAACATTCTCTATAGCTCCTACTCTCAACCTTGTTGCTGATGATACAGTGTTCACCACATCTCAACTATAATTATTGTGCTATATGCATTTGACATTCCTGGTGCTTCACATTTAATTCCTCAGGAGAGCTCACAAACACTAAAGGAAATTTTAGCTTGGGGAAGAGAAGTCATTTATTTGGATTTGCAGTTAGCAGTGGCACTGCTGGGTTTTGAATCTAGATTTCTCCAAGTTCACTGGTGGATGTTTTCTGCTTCTGGCTCTTGCAGATGCAGCTGAAAATTTCCTGAACATTTAAAAAAACCTTCAGCTGCTATTTTCATGAGCACAAAATGCTAGATTTGCTCTGTCACTGCAGAGGATAGCAGTCTATGAGGGAAGATCAAAGGCAAAACAGAAAAGAAAAGCAGCTGTACAACAAAATTCTTTTATTCAAAAATATCAATCAAACCCCCATGACTGGCTCAGCACCAAACACCCCCCCGCCCCCCCCCCCCCCATGAAGGAAAAACAAGAAAAGCAGAAGCAATCACAGGACCTCAGACTCTATAGGGTACTAGTTACCATGACCAAATAATGGACTGAATATTAAAAATATTCTGGAATGCTGTATGAGCTGACAAAAAAAGGAAAAAGGAAAGCCATCTCTAGAGCTTAAAACTAAGGGAAAATGGGAACTAAGGGGAGTTTGCTGAGCATCTGAAGGTTATTTTGCCTGGAGAATGTCTGCTGAGCCCAGATAACCATGGGCTTTGACAGTTACCATCTGAAGAAGTAGGAGCAGGAGGCCAGGCCTAGAACTGGCCAAGATAGGAGTCTAACTGGTTCCATACATCAAAGACCTGAGACCTTTAGGAAGTAGTACTTTGGAGCTGGAGGGAAAACTGCCTAATTTGAACCTGGGCAGCTGGTGGAAAGAAAACATTCTCCCTGAGGTACTATAGCCACAGCCAGCCCTTACAAAGGCCTGCAGTTCACATTTATATTACAAAGGTGTATCCACAAATCTTGCTATCTATGAATTTAAAGTGGTTATGACTTGGCAGTATTCACAGTGAAAGCAAATACAGATCTGTTTTATCAGAACAACCTTCAACATGGTCCCAAGAACACATGGGTCGAATTCCAGGGAAAATGATCTAAAAGTAAAAAATAAAACAGCACAATATTGTAAATGCTCTAAATGCCACTGAACTATACTTTAAAGTGTTCGACTGTATGTTATATGAATTTTGTCTAAGGGAGAGGAGAAAAAAGAATCAAACACAGAGTATAATTTAAAACAATTTTGGATTAAAGACAGATTATGCAAGAACAATCAGACTGACAGATTACTATTCAGTAACAATGTAAACCAGAAGACAGCAGAATGTCTCAGTGTGCTGAGAGAAAATTACAAATGAAGGCAAATAAAGACATTTAAAAAAACCAAACACAGAGAAATTCATTAATGTACTTCTATTTAAGAAAAAGCAATCCCAGATGGAGGACTTTAGACATAAGAAAAAATGGTGAACAAAGAGAACAGTAAATATGTGGATAATTTAAGCTAATATTCATTGTATAAAACACTAGAAATGCTGTATGAGTTTAAAAAATGATGGAAGAAAAAGACCTGAGAATAAAACAAGTTGTTTAATTAGTTAAAATATCCTAGGCCTTATAGTATTCAGCAAGAACATAAATATATTCTTTTGTTTTCAAATTTTAAAAGTATGCTAAAATTTCTAAGGTAACTACTAAGTAAACAAATAAATTATAACTTTCAAACTCACAGAGGGCAAAATGACATGAGACAAAATACAGAAAAGGTAGAACAAAAAGCATAAATAAATGCTGTCAATTTATCAATACTTACAACACTACAAACTAAACTAAACTAAATGCTCTCATTGACAGGCAAAATAGATCAAAATTGTTAAAATCCAAAGGCCTATTATATCCTGTTTATAAGAGACACATCTAAAACATACATTTTCAGAAAGACTAGGAGTAAAAGCCAGGAAAAGGTAAACTTGTATGCATGACCAATAAGTAAATATATATTATATACATATATATATATAAGTAAAAGAACAGAATTATGACAAATGAATATTAGACATATTAGGAGACTTTAACACAATACTAAAAATAACAGATATGTACAACAGACACGACGTCAGTAAAAACAGAGACTACTTTAACAAAATTAATAAATTGGATAAATAGCTACATATAAAATAAATGTACCAAATTAAACTGATATTCTTCTCAATCATATATATAGATGATTTGGAAAAACAGCCACATTGGCCTAAGCATAAGAGTAAAACATTTTGCATGAATACATACCAAGAAAAAGATGTACATTAACAGTATTGCCTAAGGAGGAGTGGGAGTAAGTTTGCAAATGGAAAAGAAGACAAGGAATAAACAAACAGAAGAGAAGGGCTTTGCTCACACTAGTAATAAGAACATGCCATAAAGTGAAAATTGTTATAAGTTGAATACTGCACTTTAAGCCTCCTTTACCATGGGAAAAATGAAGAAACAGAAAGAACATTCTTGGGCTGGGGGCTGGGGATTTAGCTCAGTGGTTCTGCTGTCTGCCTCGCAAGCGGAAGGTCCCAAGTTCGATCCCCGGTACCAAAAAAAAAAAAGAACAATCCCGGTCTTACTTTATGAGATCAGACCAGAAGTCAGCAAGGTTTCTGTAAAGGGTCAAAGAGTAAATATCTCTATTGCAACTTCTCAACTTTGCTACTGCTGCACAGAAGCAGGTGTAGATTTACAAAAATGAGCTAGCATGATTATGTTCCCATTAAGCTTTTTTTATGGACACTAAAATTTGAATTTCATATAATTTCCATACTCCATTTTCCTCTACCAGGCACCATCTTTCATATATTTTTCATATATATACATTTTTTCCCCAGCCATTTAAAAATGTAGAAAATATTCTTGGTGTGCAGGGTAGGGCCACAGTTTGGCAACTGCTGGGATAGAGTAACTTGCACAAAAATGTTTCAAGACCTAAAATAGTAGGTCAGTCTTATACAGTCCAAAGATACAAAATTCTAAATAAATTGTTAACAAACTGAATCCAATAATATGTAAAAAAATTACAATACTGTGCATCATAACCAAGTTAGAATTTTCTCAATAAAGCAAGATATGTATGATATTAGAAATCAATTAAAGTTATTTAGGAACAGTAATGAATGAGAAAACTCTTTTATGATCACTTTAAGAGACAGAAAAGGTATTATTTATGATAAAAATTTAAGAGTAGAGCCAGGCATGGTGGTGCATGCATGTAATCCCTGCATTCAAGAGGCTGGGGCAGGAGGATCACAAATTTGAGGCCAGCCTGGGCTACATAGTGGGTTCAAGGCCACTCTGATCTACATAGTGAGACCTTGTCTCAAACACACACACAAAAAAACAAAACAAACAAAAAAACTTTAGAGTAATTTAGGTATAAAAAGCACTACCCTTAAACTAATAGACATATATTAAAAAACAAGAGGGCTGAGGATTTAACTCAGTGGTTCCGCTGCTTGCCTTGCAAGCACAAGGACCAGAGTTCGATCCCCGGTACCAAAAAAACCCAAAAACAAAAAAAATAACAAGACAAGAGGGCTAAGGATTTAGCTCAGTGGTTCCGCTGCCTGCCTTGCAAGCGCAAGGTCCCGAGTTCAATCCCCGGTACCAAAAAAACAAAACAAAAACAAAATAAGAGCAAGCATCATTAGAAAAAGTGACAAGTCAAAAGCATCTTTTCTAAAATTGCTCAGTTTTTGTACAAACTATCTCTTATCTGAAGTGATTGGGACCAAAAGTATTTCAAATTTTGGAATATTTGCATAGATGTTAGCCAATGTGCTCAAAAAGTTTTGGATTTCTGAGCAGTTTCAATTTTGGATAAGGAATGCTCAATGTGTACCCTATACATTTTCTGCTACTCAGTAATTAATAAAAGCAGTTTTTAAAAGATAGTTATAAAATACTGTGATAAGGACTATGACTGATGCAGCAATGGGGAATGTAGTTACTTAGAGGTACAAAACACAACCAGGAGGCTCATGCAGGCTTTGTAGATGCGGGTTCTTCAGCTGGGTCTGGAAGAACCCAGAGAAAGGGGTGGTGGGGAATAAGTGCCGCTCTTGTGTTTCCTGTGCGATGGAAGAAAAGACAGTACTGTCCATTCTGGGGATGGTTAATAGTTCAGTATAACAAGAGTAAGAGAGAAAGCAGAGAGATGAGGCTGAAAAGAAGGACCAGACCAGGAGATATTTCGACTTGTTCTCTAAGTTGGTCAGACTTAATTGAGGGGCCCCTCTCCTTCATTTCCTTCTTGTGGTGCTAGGCATTAAATTCAGGGTCTCACACATGCTAGCAAATGCTCTACCACTGAACTATAACCCCAGCCAAACTGACGGGTTTTTAAGCAGAATAAACTGGCTCTAAGTTAGAGAAGACTTACTACATGAAATGAGGTAACAGTAACTTACTGTTGAAGTAAGTTGAAGGATATGTAGAAAGTATCATATAACAAACGGAAGATTAACTGGGACTCAGAAAAGGAACAGAATTTCAAAGAACAGAAGGCAGACTGAATACCATTCCTATATTATCAGGAAGAATATAGTTAGATTATTTTTATCTTGGGAAAAATATCTAGAGCTTAAAGGAATAGATAACACCCTAGGCTGCTAGAAATTTGTAACCAAAAAGGCTACTGCAGCTGCAGGTGGTGGCAGCTACATGGATCCCAGCCTGGGCAACATGGCAACTTAGCAAGACCCTATCTCAATATAAAATTTTCAAAAACAGTGTTCGCTTCAGCAGCACATATACTAAAATTTTCAGAAAGGGAAGGAGGATGGGGATGTAGCTCAGTGTGAAGGCCCTGGGTTAGTCCCTAGTATCATAACACACACACACACACACACACACACACACACACACACACACACACACAAAGCTACTGGAGTGGTCCTGGAGAGGTCAACAAAGAAATTAGTGAGATTTAAGTGAGTGACCTTAATCTGTCCTTCAATTTCCCTGAAAAATCACTGGGGCAGGTTCACAGTCAAGACAGTTCTGATGAGCTGAGCGTGGTGGCTCACACTTATAATCCCAGCACTCAGGAGGCTGAGGCAAGAGTGAGTTCAAGACCAGCCTGGACTGCATAGCAAGACCCTGTCTCAAACTCCACCCCCCAAAACAAACAAACAACAACAACAACAAAAATCAAAACCAGACCATTCTGAGAATGAACAAAATCCAAAGAAATGGAAATTCTAGATCACATAAGACAATTTGTACAAAGCAGACAGCTCTGGGGCTGGTTTAGGAAATCTGCTCCACATTGCAGTCTTCTCCAAACCACTAATTTAGTATTTCGGGTAAATTCCAGAAATAGGATAGCATCTTGAAAACCAAGAAACCCTTTCTAAGAAGAAAGTGGGAAATGCAGCTTACCTTCACCATTACTTTCAATGCACAATTCTCTCTTCTTCTTCTGGGTTCTTAGAGAAAGAAAAAGGTGGAAAAGAAAATGGTTAAGAAAGCATGAGACAATAGTTCCTCCCTGGAGCCCAGAGGTCCAGTCAGAATACTCCTGTACCTCCCCCGACCCTTCAACAAAAACTGAGGGTGCCCACAGAAGCCTGCACTGCCCCTCTCCCATCTTTACAAAGGAAAAATGTGACCTTAGGTGCCCAGGTAAGAGTCCTGGGAGTGATTCTAAGACTGTAGGCTTCTTCCTCCATAAAAGCTGGACTTCAGGTGCTTTTAGTCTAGCAACTGTCCTTGAGCCCAAATCTGTGGCTTCAAGACACAGCCTAAATGGGCCCATCTGTTACTCCTGTCACACTCCTGTCATTTAGGCTGGGGGCATCTCTATGGGCCTAGAGACCCAGTGGCTAAAGGGTGACAGAACAAAGATGCAGAATTTGGGCTAGAAATTCATCCCCTAGTGCTGGGTGCCACAGGGAAGTGCAACCTGTAGTTGGGAATGTGGTGATGCTGTAGCCAGGCATTCTGGTTTTTCATCACCACTCTGAACCCTAATTAAGTCCACAAAATGTGTTCCAGCCTAGAGGTTGGGGATGTGGCTGAGGGGAGACTGAGGAAGCCATTCATGGGCTCAGGATGGGGCAAATGAGTGAAGGGGATTGAAAGGTGTCAACCCTGGGTCCAAAGTGTGAATTAATGGAATATCAATGTAATGCCATTGCAATATCATTATAAGATTAAATTTCAGAAGGACATTTAATAACAGAAATATATCCAAGAAATAATATACAAAAAGTGACACTAAACTCCATATACCAGGTAATATTGTTTTAACGTTTTTATAAAGAAAAACAGAAAGACTAACAGTTAATAGCAGCTAATTTTATAATGTGTAACTGTGACTGATTTTTTCCTTTTCCATTTAAGAGTAATTCCCTTATAATTTGACCATATCATTTCTTCTTACAAAATGTTACTTACTAAATTTTGTTAAATATAAAACGAATAAGTATAAACTCTGAAACAGGTAACAGCAAAATAGTGGACAAGGTTTTTTAAATCCACTATTTGATTCTAGAAGATAAGTAAACAAGACTGATAAAAACATTAGAAATGAGAAAGTTAAACCATACAGCTTAAATAATTTTTAACATATTATGTGCAACTCTATAACCATCATACAGGAAACTAGATTTACACATTCCTTCTAACACTTTCTTACAGAAATTAACTAAAGAACTAGTTCCCTAGTTCTGTCCCTGTGGGGCCTTTGGGGACAGTCCAAAGAAGTTTAGTGCTTCTCACCCTCCCACATTTATTTCTCCCCTTGTGGTGGAGTACAGTACCTTCACAGACACATTTCAACTGTTTATTTTTTAAAATTTAAAATCTCCATACTATTAAGTAGCACCAATAACTCTTACACACGCCTGTCCCATAGATAAACCAAATATTAATCTGCCACTTTTGATTCTTTTTCTCTTTATGATTTCAAAATAAAACAAAGCATCATGTTACTCCCCTACCAAATATGTCTCCATATATCTATTAAGATCGGGGCAATTTCTAACCACACATAATACTAAGCACAGCATTTTACACATATATCATTAAACACAGTAGCATACATATCACACAGCACAAAAGGGTGTCTGATGCACATCACTAAACACAGTAATACACAGCCTTTGTACCTCTAACAGTAACACCATATTACACCAGAGAAAATTAACAATACCAGAATTCATTCATATTCAAACACCTCCCAAAGGTCTTACATTTTTCTTCAAGACACAAAGTCCATGCATTACATTTAATGTCATCTCTTTTGTTCCTTTTAATCTAAAATAGTGTCTCTACTTTTTTGTTTTCTCCAGAATTAACTATACATTTTTCTTTTAAAGAACCTAGGTAGTTGTCCTCCAGAATGTCTCACATTCTGGATATGTCTGGTTATTTCCTTCCACTAAAATTTAGGTTAAATATATTTAGTAAGGAGACTGCACAGACAATGTTGTGTCTTTGTTGTATTGCATCAAGAGACTATATGGTAGAGAAGTCTGGTGGGCTGCTCAAAAAGCGTGAGTGACACTATAAGCATAAGGCCTGAGATGCATGGTATACACATCAGGAGGGTGGTAGGCACTTCCCCCTCTCCTGAAGCAAATGCAAGCCACTGCTGACGGACAAGATGCAGAGGAGCTGGGGTGCTATTACAGGGATGAGGTCTGGGGCAAAGAGTCTCTCAGAAGGAGAACCTCAGCAACATGGTCTTTGGCCCAGGCCAGGCATGTAAGATCTCCAAACTACATACTCTGGAGCATAGCTGGTGCTGAGCATCACTGAATGTTCTCAAACATACACATCTCCACTGAGTGGACCATGAAACAAAAGCATGAAAAAGCAAAATGCAATAACCATAGCCAGAAAGGGAGGTCCCCTTTTTCCTTCCTACATCCTCTATTGACAAAGCCTAACATCATACTTGGTGTAAAGGATAAATGCATATAGTCCAGTCCATTTTCATATAACAGGTATTAAAGGCTGAATTTGGAGCTGAGAAGAAATAAATTGATACTGGCACAACCTCCCCCTTTTGGGTACTCAGTTCCTATACACACTTTTATATACACTTAAGTTCTCTTACATTGAAACAATTATAATTTCTACCTACCAAGGTACAGGTATATAAATGAGAAGATATATAAACTCAATAGTTGTTTATATTAATTATTAATTAATTGTTAGATGTATTCTTTCTTTCTTTTTTTTTTTTTTTGGTGCTGGGGATTGAACCTAGGACCTTGTGCTTGCAAGGCAGGAGAGATGCCACTGAGTTAAATCCCCGGCCCTTGGATATATTATTTCTCAAATTCAGTTACAGTTCCACTGAATCTTTGTTTGCCTAATTATATTAGCCTCCAAAAATTTACACATAAATGAGAAAAACATGGCTAGTATAAAATAAATACATACATATAACAAGAGAATATGCAAGTCACTACAGTCTTTATAACTGGATGTGAAGTTATAGTTGATATTTATGGCTTTCTTCTCCAACAACTCATTCCATATTTCCATTGCTTTTACTAACCACCTCAGATACTCTGGTTTAAATTAAACCTTCATTCCTTTTTTTGGCTTTTTTCCAAACAGGGCCTCACTATGTAGTTTAGGCTGTCCTTGAACTCTCTATGTAGGTTAGGTGGGCCTTGAACTCATGGTAATCCTCCTGCCTCAATCTCTCAAGTGCTAGGATTACAGGTTGCACCACCATATCTAGCCAAACATTCCTGAAGAGCGGGATTCCTCAATCATCTTGCTTTAAAATAAAAAACAAAAAAACCCAAAACTGCTGTCATTTTCCATCAGCCCTTAATAGTAAGCATGGAACTGTTAGTAAGAAGAATGCCAAAATTCACCTGTTTCAGGTATAGCCCTCTTTACTTCCACTATAGAGCAGTAACTCAATTTCTCATTGGGAATTAGGATCACCTATCCCAGTAGGTTAACTCTTTTTTTCTTTCCCTCCTTCCTCCCCATCCTTTCTTTCCCTGAGTCCTGAGTCACTCAAACAAATGAACTGAACATAGGGAATGGCTGTGTGAACCTTAGTTTATACCTACTTGGTTACAATTGCAAGTAAAACAACCTGGAGCTTGGAACTGGCATCTGAAGTGGGAGGTAATGTCAGAACTGAATTTTATGAGGACACCCAGCTGGTATCCAAAGCTGTAGAAGTGCTTAGTTTGTCAAAACAAATCTCTTCCACATCTACTATTATAGACATCAGTCACCCATGGGGCATGCTTTATTGTCTACTGAAAGTGTCTGCCTTCATGTCATCATTTTGATTTAAACATCAGACAGACTCAGATGCCTTATATTCCAGGTAACACTTATGGGTTATTTTCTGCCTTCAGGATTTTTCTTTTTTTCTCTGTGGTTCTGGTGCTTGAACTCAGGGGTACTTAACCCCAGAGGAACATCCTCAAGCCTCCCTTTCTTTGAGACAAGGTCTCAATAAATTGCTCAGACTGGGCTCAAATGTATGATTCTCAGAGCAGTGGGGATTACAATCATGCACCACTGTACCCAACTTAGTATTTGTTCCTTTAAAGAGCTTCCAGGAGTAAGTGTTACTTTGATTCCAAAACCAGGGAAAGACCCAACCCCAAAAGAGAACTACAGGTCAATCTCCCTAATGAACATAGATGCAAAAATCCTCAACAAGATACTGGC